ACCAACTCATGGCAATGGGTCTTGAGAAGTATATTAAGGCAATCAAATGTGCCGAGTTTCCGGTGAGGAAGGGCGCAGATCCCATACGCATTGCATGCAAYCGCATGGTGAAAGATCTAATACATGGCAAACAGGCACGCCGAGTGTTCGCCAAGATCCAGGAGCTCTGCGACATGGAGCAGTATAATCCGGTCAAATATTACTTTGACCACGAGCGAGCACCGCCTGTCAATCAAGTCCTGATAGGCTTCGAGGGCGGCATTGTGCGCACGCCGCGGGAACAATACGATTTGCTGCCAAGTGGCTGGAAGTATTACATTGAGGTAAGTACACAAGTCCCTATAAAAATCTAGTTATACAATAGTTGTTTGATTGGCAAGCTGAGTAACTGAAGAAGCTGAGTCTACATTTTGTACAGTAGTTGTCTAATATTAATTTGAGTTTAAAGAGTGTATGGAAATCCCTGAAAACTAGAAAATGATTGAAAGCTCATTTTATGTTTGCGAGCTTTACAAATTTAATAGCGGGGAAAATCTCTATACATGTTACATGAATACAAAAATAATAGGTCTAGGTGATCGGTTAGTGGCCTACACGATCTCTGGGTATCAGACGCAGCTCGGAGCCATGCTTGAGAAACACATTGCCCGCTGTCTGCTGAGGACTAATCCCAATGCCGTCGTCTGTGATGATGGCGCTCGTCTCTGCGGGCACCTTGAACTCTTCGGAGGCGAATTTCAGCACAGCTGTGAAGGGCGTTGCTTCAGGCACGCTGAGCACTTTGAATGGCAGCTTAGGATCCGACGTGAGTGTTATTTTAAATGTCACTTTGCTCATTTTGTTTGTCTGTTTGGGAAAGCGGAATGTGAACTCTATGTGACGTGGTCAGTTTTTGTTGTAGCTGCCAGCTGTTGCTCCAACGGCGTTGTTTGGATCTTCTGATTAGGTTATGGTCACGGCAGTATCTGTTGAAATTGAAAACCGTTCAGTTTTGACTAGTTCCACTGCATTGAATCGTAAAATTAATTGAAAACAAAAAATTTCTATTTCGCTCTTACGCCAAGTGATGTGTAAAAGAGCGATAACACTCTATGTCTTTGCTACTCTAATGTTCAGTGTAATCGATAGACGATTAATAACTTCGGCCATCACTGACTGTTTACGGGCACGAATTCCATGTCCAGTGTTTCACATAGCGGTTTTATGATTTAAATTTAAAATTTGTAGATTGTTAGCACATTCAAAAATTAACTAGCACCAATGTAATTTAATTATAAGTATTGGAAAATGTGCTGCATATTTTATTGGTAATWTARCCAAAAATATAGCTTACAGTCGGTTTAGCCTTTTCTKATTTTGAGCAACACTTCGAGGAATCCATGTTTCCCGCTTTATTATCGAAAACTCAACATGTTATATCGATGAAATATCAACAATTCTGCTGTTTACAGTAGCAAAGTTTGTAAATATGCAACATTTTTGGAAAAGAAATATAGTTTGCGTGATGTAAATTGTAAATATTGTTGCAGAAAAACTGGAATAACGACAAGCGCGCCCGTCGCAGCAACCATAAACAAATTTCATCACGTTCCTCATCAGCAGCGAGTACGTCGTATTTGGAGTTTGTTCGCGAGGCGGTGGGAGAAGATTTGTTGTTGCCCGACAGTTTGGGCGAGCCTTCAGCGCCATATGGCAGTGTCACTAGCTTGGCGCAGTCAGCCACACCTACAAAAACAAAAGCAGAGGAGAAAAGCACGTCCAGTTCACACCCCAAGCGATCCCGCCGATCCGGCGAKCAAAGTTTGTCTTCGCTGACCATTAATGTAAATTACGTCTTCGGGAGCGATCTAGGAGCCAATGCCTTCAAAGCCGGCGTCTCTGTGCCATTTCAGCCCACGGACTACGCTAGCAATGTGGCGAACATAAATAGCAGCCTTCAACCAAGCAGCGAGTGCAGTTTATTGGCGCTGCCACCCCCATTGCCGCCACTGCCAAAGGATGCGCCGCCCGCTGTAAATCTCTGCTTTGATGCTGAAACAGAGACCGTAAAGATCGTTGAATTGGAAAAGTCTGCGGAACAAAAGAACGAGGAACTAAACACCAACAGCTTAAGTTGCTCTGCAGGCAGTGCCAAACGAGCTCGTTGTCGGATTTATAAACGTTTGGTTGTGTCTCGCCAGCAGCGACCACGCCGCTCAGCCACCACATCGTCGTCGACAACACCGCCGCGAAGTCGCTACCACGCTCTGCGGCAGCGTTTGCGCCGTAAGCTGCAGCGGCGCTGTCAAGCCCTAATCACCAGCTACGCCAGCTACCTGCAGCAGCAGGGCGAGCTCTACGCCCATTCGCCGCCTGTGCAATACTATCACAGACGTTTCTTTGCACTCGA